GGTGTACACTTCATGTTCTTTGATTTTATTGACAGCTTTTTAATATTAAGTCAATGTTGAAATGTATTTTGTTGACTTCAGGTGTGTGTATATGTGCATGTGATTTTATATTTTTGGAGTTTTCTTCTCTTAAGTCATAGAGCCTTTTATGAGACCCCTTGTTTGTCAGTTATGGCTGTCATAAGAAACAACTCATTCGAGGGGGGGGGAGAGATAGCTTAAAAGTTAAGAGCACTTGTTGTTTTAGAGAAAACTTGGGTTCAGTTCCCAGAACTCACATGGTGGTTCACAACTATCCGCAACTCCAGTTCCAAGGGATCCAGAACCTCTTCTAGCCTCTGGAGGTACCAGGCATATGCATAGTGCAAGCATACATGCAGGCAAAACATTCATACATAGAAAACACATAATATTAAAAAATAGAAACAACTCATTCAGTAGATAAATTCCAGCCAATAGTTAATGTTCTTTGAAGAGCATAAAAACACATTTATTAATTAGGACTCTGTTTACATTTTACTTTTAGAAGGATAAATTGTGAGGATGAGATAATGGGTCAGTAGGTAAAATGATTGCTATGAAAATATCAATAGAATTAGAGTTTGGATCCCCAACACCAGTGTAAAAAGCTAGGCAAGGTGTATCTATATCCCAGATCTGATGAAGTGGAGATGTGCAGGTCCTAGGAACTTCCTGAACAAACAGTAAGAGTAAGTTTCAGAGTCAGCAGATTCCATATATACAAACTTGTATATATGTGTATATATGGAAGATACCTAATATATAATATATATAATGGAAGACAATACACACACATACCTATGTGGATTTCTGCCTTCACATGCTTGGACAGGCAAGTGCAGTCCCTCACATGTACAGCGCATGCTTATACTACACATACAGACAGAAAATAGTTTCAAGCAAGGTGATTATATTAGTTATGGCTCTTCAGATGATCAGAGTTAGTATATGTATATCTGTGGATTCACCATAAGGAACTGGCTCATGTGATTATGGAGGCTGATGGGTTTCAAGATCTGTGGCTGGCAGGCTAGGAGATACTGGAGAGCCCTTGGTATGATTCTAGTCCAAAGGGTAGTAGGCTTGAGAGCCAGGAAGAGCTCATGTTTAAGTTTGAATCTAAAGGCAATCAGGTAAGACTCTGCCTCTTATTTTAGGGAAGCTAGTCTTTTCGTTCTACTCAAGCTTCAGCTGATTGGTTTAGGGAGAACAGTCTGTCTGCCTTACTTGTTCTATTGGTGTCAATGCTAACATCATCTAAGAGCATCTTCACAGAAACACCGAGAACAATTGTTGACCAAATTTTAGGGTGCCTCGTGGCCTCATCAGGTTGACATATAAAATTACCTATAACTGTTATCTACTTAAAAATTCTTAGTTTCACAGTTTACATGAACCTATGCTGTTGCAGTCTTTGATAATTAATGTTATCAATGATGAAAAATCATTATGGCTCCAATACAAATACTAAGCAAACTCTGATTATTTATAAATTTATAAATACACCCTTGATCTGAAATTCCAAAATTCAAACTTATCTAAATCCTAAAAGTTTTTGAGTACTGAGATGATACACTAAAATTATTTTGACAATATAATAAATATAAGACAGATGTGAAATATAAATGCATTTTATGCATAGATTTTGGTTCCATTTCCAATGATACCCCATTATGTGTAAAAAATATTCCAGAGTCTGAAAAAAACATTCCAACCCTTCTGAAAAATTTTTAGTTCTAAGCATTCAGATAACGAACAATGCCGGGTGTTAGTGTAGACCGCAGAGGTGATGCGGCAGTCAAGATAAAGCTACCCTCCTGTAACCTGTACTCCAATGGCAATGACAGATCATCTACATGAGATGAAGATATGATACAGTATCATAATAGCAAGAACTGTGGAGAAGTTGAAGGTGGTGGGAGGCACTGGAGTTGCTGAATGGTGAATGAAGTGGAGACATACTACCTCACAGTTAAGCTGTGTTAATATAAATTTAAAATAAAAATAATACTTTAAAAATACTTAGTACCATTACATTGACATTTTTTTTCCTCTCCCATCATGTTTTACTCTATCCTAGGTCTCTGGGCCATTCAATCTTTGGGTCATGACATTCTAGGCCTTGTCAAGAATGGGCTCACTCTTGTGGCTTAGATCTCAGGCTGGACCAGTCATTGGCTGGCCATTCCCACAATCTCTGCACCACTGTTACCTCATCACATCCCATAAGCAGGACAGACTGTAGGTCAAAAGTTGTGTGACTAGGCTGGTGTTGCAATCCGTCCACTGGAAGTTTTCCTGGTCATAGGAGATGGACAGTTCAGGCTACGTATCCACTATTACAGGGGTTAGCTGTGGTGATCTTTGTAGGTTCCGAGGAGGGTCCCTTGCACTAGGTTTCTACCTGACTGCTACATGTCCCCCTCCCAGTCATCCCTTTCAATACTCCCCTACTCCATCTGCCTCAACCCGATCCCTCATGTTTCTTTCTTCACCCGCCTACAGTCCCATGAGATTTCTTCTATTTCCCCTTCCCAGGGAGATTCATGTGTTTCTCTCTTGGGCCCTCCGTATTCCCTAGCCTCTCTGGGTCTGTGGATTAAAGCATGGTTATCCCTCACATCTAATATCCACTTATGAGTAAGTACATGCCATGTTTGTCTTTCTGGGTCTGACTTACCTCACTCAGGATGCTTTTTATATTCATAGATTAGTGCGTACTCCAATTGTCTACAGAGAACCTTCATCCAATAACTGATGGAAACAGATACAGAGACCTGTTGAAATAAGTGCGGTGGGGCTGCGTCCCCAGCACCTCCGCCGCCAGCTAGCTTATGCCCCGAAATAATTACACAGACACTATATTCTTTTAAACACTGCTTGGCCTGTTTCTATCTAGCCTCTTCTAGGCTAATTCTTACATTATTAATTTAGCCCATTTCTAATCATCTGTGTAAGCACCCCAAGGTGCGCTTACCGGGAAGATTCTAGCCTACGTCCATCCTGGGTCGGAGCTTTCTGGGAGAGCGGAGCCTGGCGTCTCTGCTCTAGAAAGCAGAGCTGTCGAGCCTGAGCTCACTTCCTCTTCCTCCCAGCATCCTATTCTGTTTACTCCTCCCACCTATGTTTTAACCTATCAGGGCCAAGGAGTTTCTTTATTGCTTAACCAATGAAATCAACAGATTGATATATGACACTCCCACATCAGAGACCCAAAGCCAAAAAGTTAGGCCAAACTCAGGGAATCCTGCTAAAGAGAGGGAGGAAGGATTGTAGGAGCCAGAGGGACCAAGGGCATCATAAGAAAATCACTGAAACAACTAATCTGGGTTCACAGCATCTCACAGAGACTGAACCTGCATGGACCGACCTGGGCCCTCTGGTGTCTATGTTAGTCTGCTTGTGGGACTCCTAACAATGGGAGCAGAGGCTGCACTTTTGGGAACCTGTTCCCCATACTGGGTTGCCTTGCCCAGCATTAATACAAGGAGAAGTGCTTAGTATTACATCAACTTGATATACCATGTTTTTGTTTATGCCCTCGGCAGGCCTGTCTCTTTTTGGACAGAAGCAGAGGAGGAATGGATAGTGCGCATCAGAGGAGAGGTGGGGGAGGGAATGGGAGGAGAGGAAGGAGAGGAAACTCTGATTGGAATGTAAAATAAATAGTTAATTAAAGAAAACTACTTATTACCAGCTTGCATCCTATAATGCCAGACAAACCCTAACTCTTACAGTATGCCTTTCTTTATAAAGCAAGGGGGTTGTTACTTGTAGAAAGTAAGTTTTGCCAGCAGATACATTTTCCAGAAATAATCAGGTACCATTCAAAGGCCTAGACCCTCTCATTCTTTCACAGTGAAATATTTAGCCTGATGTTAATAAAAGCATGAGTAACATGTCGAAGATCATCAGTATTATAGCTATTTTTCTATTTATTTGAAACATAGTAAGGAAAATAGTACAATTTTGAAATTCAGTGGCACAAGATAGACTGCTATTAATTCTTTGACTTCGATCTCTTCTCTTTTTGTATGAAGGCTCTATATATACTGTGTAGACATCTAATGGCTTCATTGTAGCAATAGATTGTTCTCACATGTTTTCATGAGGTAGGACATTCCTCTCCATGCATTTGGGCTCTCTATTATGTATTCTATTGCTGTTTCCAAATGACTTCAATATAGGCGGAACCAGTTTAACTTTCCAAAATTCCCCTCCTTCTTTCCTTAGTGTTGGTCTGGTCAGAAGTGTAGATAGGATAGTCCGGAACCTTATGGTATCCTGCCTGAAGGGAGGGGAGAAGTCAAAAGCATGCCCGTTAAGTCTGGAGGGCAAGTTGGAAGCTAAACCACTTGTGTTCAGCTTTAATGATATTAAAGTCTTGACCTCATTGTCCTCCAGTTCAAGTTTATTCCATCTATATATTTTATCATGTAACATGCTGGGTCTTGCTGTCTTGGCTTAGAATCTCTACTTTGTAATAAAGTGAGCTCTGAGGGCTTCTGCCTCTGACTACTTTCTCATTGGCAAATTTCCTCTGGACTGTGTGGGCACCTGGCCCTGCTCCTAGAGAGTTGCCAAGCATTAGTCTGTGCCAAGATCTCTGTTTATTAAATTTCTGAATTCTTTGCTCAATATAGTAGTGGGAGCAGTCCCAACCTTGTGTTTCTTACAATTTATGATAGTGTGAAAGTCATAAAATTTAGCAGAAACTTACAGTTTTACAATTTGGTGTTTTCCAGAACTACCAGTATGTGGTATAGTACTTCTCTCTATCACTGGCAGCTGCAGTGAGATGAAGGTTTCAGACATCTACACAAGCACAAATAAAAAATACCAGAGAGTCCACAGTGTGGTTAAGATACAGTGTTTGGTAGGGTAGGTTTATTAGGTCCATTTTGGGTTTATAGTATATCATTTATTCTGACATGAGTTCTCTGTAGATCAAAGAGTGTCTGTCATGATGTACCATGCAGGACTCCCTTTCATGAAGTCTTTGGCTCCACTGATGGGAATACAGCATGAGTGGCTGACTCAGCCAAGATTCAGCATGGTGAGTATAACCTCTTTCCCAGTTAGGCCCACTACTATGATTGTTATATGACTATTATGGCCTGACCATTTGGGCCTGACTAGTGACAACTATGAAGGACATGCTAGACCCAGCATTCCCATGGAATTACCCAGGAATTTTTCTAGATGTGTGTCAGTTTGACTTTTTCTATTTTAAGACTTGCTGCCTTCCCTTCCCTTTCCGTAGGTTTCATCTGAAAGTTAATCCTAAATTAACATTTTGCAAGCTCAACTAGTAAAGAGGTCTGCTTTCCTGAGAACCCAGTGTTGGCTGTGAAGTTTTCTGAGCGTAGACCTTATTTATGATCTATTATGATAATAGTTTAACAATATTTGACAGCCTATTTTATATCAAGCCTGAGTTTGGGTTTGGGAGAACCTTATACATTGATATGTACCTTAATTTTCTCAATAATAATCCAGAAATAGACTTTTGACTTTAAAACATATGTTGGAAGTTGCTCAAGAGATATTTTCCCTAAACACTTTGTTCTTATTATCTCCCTGAGGGAAATATGCTCTTTTTGCAGCAGCTCTTCATGCTCCACATATTCCAGCAGTTCAGTAGCTTCAATCATATTTAACTAGAGTCTGGTCAGCAGCAGCCTTTTTTTTTCATTTATGAGGAGAAATTTTGACAGAAATTCCTATCAATAAGTAGAGATTTTAAAATGACCTTCATCCTGTAAAATGGAGAAATAATTTTATAACTTATTCTATTGAAGCTCTTTTCATTAAATAGGAAAGAAATATAAAATTCCAGTGGGAACAAGAGTAATAGTTATGTATAAGATGAATGGAGGGGTTTGTGGTGGTTTGAAAGAAAATGTCCGCCTAAGGGAGTGGCACTATTAGGAGGTGTGGCCTTGTTGGAGGAAGTGTGTCATTGTGGTCTCTTTTGTTCAAGCTTGCTCAGTGTGACTCTGAGTCCACTTCCTGTTGCCTCCTGATCAGAACATAGCTAGCACCATATCTGCCTGCACGTGCCGTCCATGTTCTTGGTCATGATGACAATGAACTGAACCTCTTAAACTGTAAGCAAGCCACCCCAATTCAATGTTTTTCTTACAAGAGTTGCCATAGCCCTGGTGTCTCTTACCATCAATAGAAAGCCTAACTAAGACTGTGTTTTATCATTTCATTGTTTCACATGATAAAAAATAATGTGCTATAAACTTTCATTTACTATATTACTGATATTATTCATGATTTATCTATATTCTTTCTTTATTGAGAAAGATATGAATTATTTTATAACTTATGATTCATATACATCATTAGTACTTCTCATATCTAATTCAAAGAGATTATAAGTAAAGAAAATACACACTCAAATGTGTCATTGACACAGAAATATGGGGGCTAAAGAATATGATTAAAATGAACAAAATGCCTTGGGAGTACCAATACCAGATTTAATGACACTCAACAGTCTCTGAAGAGAATTCACAAGAAAATGACTATTCAAAGGAAAAAAGAGAATAGAAATGGCAGATGCCCATGGGACATTGGTTGCAACATCAGAAGAACTATCCTTTACATTATGAGAGTTTTAGGAGGAGTAAGGTGTCATTCCTCTAAAACTAGGGTAAAAGCTTATTTAGAGAAATAATGGCTGAAAAATTTCCAAATCTGAGGATAAAAATTGGACATGAGATCCATGAAAATTAAAGATCTTCAGTCAGATCCTACCCAAAGATCTCACCAAGATGTATTATAGCAAAATTATTAAAATTAGAATCAAAAAATTTAAAGAGGTCTTTTTAAGCCTCAAGACAGAGACACAGAAGACTATTGGTTTATGTTTTTCAGCAGAAAACTTGTAGGAGTGTGATGGTTTATTAGAGTGCTGAGAGAAAAATAGTATCAACCAAGAATATTCAGAACAGATGTCACTCAGAAGTGATGGAAAGATGAAGAATTTCTCAATCAAAGAAACATTAGGTACTTAAAAATTTGCTAGCGGGAAGTCTTCCAGAGGAAATGAATGGATGCCAGTTTATAAGATATAAATGCATATAGATGCATAAGGCTCACAGAAATGCAGTTCAATTTAGAGTGTTCTAATGCTGTAATGTTGGTATGTAAATCACTTATTAGTTTAGCATAAAAGTTAAGAGGCAAACATTTTTAAATAACTGTCACTACAGCAATTTGTTAATGAGTAAGCAACATAAAATATGTGTTAATTGTGACATTAAAAGTGGCAGGGGTAAATTTTTTGTGCACGTTTTGTCAGAAACATAGATCAACACCTCTTTGGCTTTTTTGCAATGTCACAATTTTTTGAACAACCAATAAAGTTACAAACTACATTACTTTCTTTGGTTGTAATTTAGTTGTAATTCAGTTATAAATCAGATAATCCTGATTTCCCTTGATAGCTGCTGTTGACAAACACAGGTTCTTATTCTGATATTAATTACTAATAACATTGTCAGATGATGCATTAACATTTCACACATTAATATACAAAGGATATTAAAAAGGAAGCGAAACAAGAAGGTATTCTAAGAGGTAAAATATTCCATCTTACAAGGAAGCTCATTAAAATAATAAGTAACCGACTCAAAGTCTTCAGGAAGTCCCTGAAACTGACCAGATCCCAAGCATATATAAGTAGTAAAGTCTTCTGAGAGATACTTTCAGAAGGGTGCTTGGTAGAAACAGGGACCACCTGAGATTCCTGAAATAGGCACAGACCAACTAACTACCTGGAGAGGACTCTCTCCAACCTGTTTAGCTGTCTACAGGTATATATAATACTCCCAAGTTTCCAGCTTTGTCAGCTGTCACTCATACTGGGACGAGTTTTATTTATATAGCTGTGTTTGTATTGTTTCTGCCTTTTAAATACACCCTTACTTATGTTCCTGTAAGTATAACCCCAGTAAAATTCATTGGTTCATCAGTGTTGACATTGGTGGTAGCTGTACTCTGGTCTGTCATTCATTCCCTATCTGGGATGTGTAAACAAATTCACATTGACTGAGATGTCACCTACATTTTTGGACATTCGCTTACTTTGTTCCCAGTTGGCAGTCCTTTTTGGGGGCAGGCATGGAGGTGTGGCCTTGAGGGAGGAAATATGTCATAGGAGTGGATTCTGAGAATTTAAACAGGTGCTCTCTCTGTTTCCTGTTTACAGTATGAGATGTGAGCACTCAGCTGTTTCTGCAGCCATATCTGGTGTTTGCTGCCATGTGTCCCCACTATGATGAACTCTTATCCCTCTGAAACTGCAAACTAGATGAACCCATCCTTCTCTAAGTTGGCCTTGGTGATGGTATATTATCACACAACAGGAACCCTGACTAAGACAATATCTCCCTAGGAGTAGTGTCACATACATAACATTTGGATTTAGCATACTTCACAGTTCCAGGTGAGAGCATTCCATCTGGTATGATTGATAGGCACACACATCTGTTTTTTTTTTTTTTTTACGTGATTTGGTGTATTTTCCAGTGTCATTATTTGTTGGCATAAATAGGTGATCAGTTTGTGCTGGCAGTGTGCTGGCAGATGGTGGTTACTCACTTGCATAAACAAGATGTGCGGAGTCATTCTCTCTTGGCACTTATACTCCTAGTGGAATAACTCTGGTCAAAGCTATTGCTTTATAAAATGAAATCGTTCTTGGTTAGTCTGAAAGTTAGTCTATGCTATTCCACACAACATAGAGAAGTCCCACCCTTGTTTGTAAAACTGTAATGCTTTCGCTTGTAATCAAAGTTAAACTATTATTTTCAAATTTATTACTATGGGCAATAATTTTTGTAAACCTCTTGGGAAGTAGGCACCAAAAGGTCTGAGGTCATTACATAAATGATAAAGGAGTCAAAACTTCCCCTGCAGAAAATCATCACATCAGAAAGGGAAACAAAATAGGTTTTTAATTATAAAATGAATAAATTTGGAGATGTAATTATCATACTATAATGTAGTGACTATGATAATCTTTGTTTTTCAACTTGACTGGATGCAAGGATTGGGTAAAGGATGCCTCTAGATATATGTCTTTGATGGCATTCTCCAAAATGATTATGTCAGATTAGGACTCTGACCTAATCAGTGGATTATCCTAATGAATTAGTAGTATGGCAGCATTATTGAAAAGTGGTTAAAAAGTAGAGGGTATGGTGTGGTGTCACTGGAAGAAGTAGGTCCCTGGCTCCTTCCTGTGTCCTCCTTTCCCTGTTCCTTGACTGCCATGATGTGACTGCTCTTCCCTGCCATGCCTTCCTGCCATGATGGGCAGACACATGAACCCAAATAAATTCTTTTTTGAAGTTGTTTTATTTATTTTGTTATCTAACTAATGTGACAACTGTAGATGAAAATATTATATTCTGCNGTTTTGTGTTTAGTGCCGGAGGATCAAAGCCAAGACCTCTGTGTGCTAGGGAAGCTGGATCTCCAGCCCAAGAGACTCTATCGTGTCTTTCCATCATGGACCAATACCCAAAAGTTAGCGCACAATGTGGATATGCTAACCAGCTGATTATAGTAGTTATTTCATAATGTGTAGTGTACTAAAGCCCTTAAACATATACTAGTATTAAATTATGAACATGTTCTATACAAATATATAGAATTTATATTTATTTGTCACTATTACCCAGTATATATAGTATATATTGAAAATAATACTTTTTTTTTTTTTGGTTTTACGAGACAGGGTTTCTCTGTAGCTTTGGAGCCTGTCCTGGAACTAGCTCTTGTTGACCAGGCTGGCCTCGAACTCACAGAGATCTGCCTGCCTCTTCCTCCTGAGTGCTGGGATTAAGAGTGTGCCACCACCGCCCAGCTGAAAATGATACTTTTAAATTTTCTGAAGTAAATATGAGTAGTCTACTTTTGAAATAAACAAGAAATTTCTTTTACTTCTCTTCAAAAAAAGTATTTTTCCAATAAAATAGAGCAAGAAAGAAAATATCTCATACAGTCAATGATTCCATGAAACCATTCATGGTAAATCCAGAATGTTAATGTTTAGACTACTAGTAGATTTGAATATAATATTTAACGATGGTAGAAGGTAATATGTCAATCATTACTTTGT